AGGATTCCCTTGATGAGTTTTCGAGTGTGTCTGGTCTCTTTCCGAGTCCGGCCAAATGCGAGGCCTTTTATTGTAATATTGGCCAGCACACTAAGGAGTCCATTCAATCCATCACCCAATTTCCGGAGGGTTCCCTCCCGGTGCGTTATCTAGGGGTCCCTCTCATTACCACCTGCCTCTATCATAGGGATTGTAAGGGCCTTGTTGACAAGGTCAATTCCAGGCTTAATGACTGGAAGAATAAGTCCCTCTCGTTTGTTGGAAGACTGCAGCTCATTCTCTCGGTCTTGTCCTCCATGCAGATCTATYGRGCCTCTATTTTTGTGCTTCYGATWTCCATATCCAAAGAGATTGAGAAGCTCATGAGGGGCTTTCTTTGGTGCCACGGTGAGCTAAAAAGGGGGAAAGCAAAGGTCTCCTGGAAGACTGTCTGCCTCYCCAAATCTCAAGGCGGGATGGGTATAAAAAGCYTTGCCAGCTGGAATATAGCCSTCATGGCCTCCCACACATGGCGAATCCTTACCAATAGGGATTCGCTCTRGGTTAAATGGATCCACTCCTACAKGCTGAAARATCGTAACTTCTRGGMTGCCCCGATACRCAGTGATGTTGGTTGGGGCTGGAGGAAGATCCTTGGTATGAGGGAAAAGATAAGAGACTTCATTGTCTCCCAGATTGGTGATGGCGCTTCCACGTCTGCCTGRTATGATAACTGGCATCCGACTGGCCCCCTCTACCGGCATATCTCTTCTCGTAGTATTCTCAACTCTAATCTCTCTCTCTGCTTCTTTCAAATATATTGTTTTCCAGGGCAATTGGACGTGCCCTCTCATGAGGGACAATTCCAACCCTTCTCTGCACGTCTCTCCCCTCCCCGTCCTTTCCCCGACCACCACTGATCAGCTCCTCTGGAGAACTAGGGATGACCGTCTCACTCCTTTCTCTGTTCATGTGGTGTGGCTCTCCCTCCGTCCCAATGAGCCTGATGTCTCCTGGCATCAGTTAGTCTGGTTCTCTCAAAACATCCCCAGACATGCCTTTATTCTGTGGGTTGCTCTCAAGCAGCGTCTCAAGACGCACGATAAACTTCGGTTTTGGGAGGCCCATTCTGATATGTCTTGTGCTTTCTGTCAGAATGGGCCTGATTCGCACTCACATCTTTTCTTTGAGTGCCCGTTCCTTAATCTGGTCTGGAATGGTTTAAAAGCCAAGCTGAACCTCAATGGTGTCCCGGATAACTGGGATGATATTATTGGTATGTTCCAGCACTTCACCAAAGGAAAGACCATTTGGTCTATCATTCGTTGCTTAGTGCTTGCTGGGACCGTCTACCACCTGTGGCAAGAAAGAAATAATCACATCTTCAAAAGTAAAAGAAGATCGCATGTTACGGTGAGTAAGACAATTATTGATGATGTCCGGTCCAGGCTCCTTAGCCTGACCTTTAAGCCCTCCCCCAATGTTGTCCGGGCTCGGCTTGCCTGGAACCTCCCATAGCTGTTTGTGTT